TACTGGCAATTTTATTTTATTTTCAGTCCCCACACTGACATAAGGTAAGGTGGGTCTCAGTTGGTCAGTTAGGCTGGGAGTGTTGGGCTGTCTTTCATGGCATTTCCTCACAGGCCTAAGTTGGTTGTGCTATTCAGGTCTCTGGGAATGATGAAAACCACTTTAGCAGACTTTGAGAAGGACAAGGAAGGACAGTTTTGGTCTGGCAGCAACCATACTAGTCAATAGGTTTCAGTTCAGTGCCTTTGATATGCAAGTAGGTGGTTAAAAACATCCTTCTCTTACCCCTCACATTAAAGTTATTTTGACTACTTCAGAAAAAAAAAACCTTTTGAAAAGTTAAAATTAAGTATATGGGGTAACTTATCAATATTCTAATATCTTCTAAAATTAAAGAATGATGGGATTTAATTAATTAGCTTGATTTCTATCTTGTCTCAAACTATTTAACTCTTGGCAAACTCTTGTTTCAAACAATGGGATGATAATCAGGTATGAGTGATTTGGCAGCTTACAAATACAATTAAAACACAATATAATAAATAAGCAATAACCCCCCCCCCAATACTATCAATCCCTCAAGTAATTGGTACAAAGCTTTCCAGAAACATGATGTAAAATTTAACATTGGAATCTGAAACAATAAATCTACCCATACTTTTGTATTGGAAGTTCTGCTCAATAAATAGTCTGGCATCTTAATAAAAGGTTTCACAGCAACCAAGACACAGATCAAATATTTAACACTTAAGAAGTCAGTAATAAAATTATAAGTGGCTCTTCAGGTAGGGGGAAAAATATAACTTCCTAACTGGCTTAGCCAAAGCAGGCTTGGCAAGATAGCAAATGTAGCAGGAAGGCTTGTTTTAAATACTGGGATACTTAAGGTAAATCAAAAGCCTGATGTTCATCAAATTGGGCTATAAAACTAATACAGACATTTTAACCTCCCCCCCCCCTTCACCTATTGTCAATCTAGAGCAGAGTCCACTTCAATGGGATCCAACTGAATGCCATTGGAAAAAATTCTATAAGTCCAAAGCAGGGAGATTAAAAGCATATTGTTTTCCAGGTTAACATGCAACCCAGAACATTTCTGGCATCTTTAGTATGGGCTGCTGGATTTTTAGGGGGAACAAAAATCAAATTATCATTTAAATAGTGCACAAGAATGCAGGATGTCATAAAATATCTTGGTTGGTCATGAATCTCTTAAATACAAGGAGCAAGTCAAAAGCTGGATAGCATCACTAGGTACTCCAATTTCCTAGAACCAGTGTCAAAGTTATTTAAATATTCTCCTTTATATTTGATTATAAGATTTTTGTAAGTACAGTTTAGTTAAAGTACTTGTCTTTTGGAGAATTCCAAAATATCAGACATAAAGAGAATTGGGTAATAATCCCAACAGAGTTCAGAAGTAAGAAACCAGGGACCACTCTTACAGGAGTGTTCCTTTATATTTTGTTGACAATATGGCTGGATGACCGGAGACAACTGGAGATACAGATATTCCTTGACTTACAACTGCTCATTTAGTGATCATTTGAAATTACAACGGCACTGAAAAAAGGCACTTGTGATCGTTTTTCACACTTATGACTGTTGTAGCATTCCCATGGTCACGTGATCAAATTTCAGATGCTTGGCAACCAACTCATATTTATGATGGTTCCCAGTGTCCCAAGGTCATGTGATCAAAATTAGAGTGCCTGGCAAATGATATTTACGACAGTTGCAATGTCTCAGGCTCATGTGATCCCCTTTTGCGACCTTCTGACAAGCAAAGTCAATGGGGAAGCCAAATTCACTTAACAATCATATTAATAACTGCAACTTAATAACTCTGGCAAGAAAGGTCATAAAATGGGGCAAAACCCACTTAATGAATGTCTTACTTAGCCACAAACATTTTGGGCTCTATTGTGGTCATAGGTTGAGGACTACCTGTATATCTTTCTTTTTTTTCAACTTATGTATGAGTGTCCTAAGTCCCAAGCTGAGGACTATCTGTATAGCCTTACTGGCTCCAGCTGGTTTTGCAAAATTATCTGAATAATGACACTATTCAAGCTGCTGATCTGGACATCCAACTGTTGCTAGGCTGAAATAAGGCAATGGCAACCTGTTCAGCTGCAGTCACATTATGTCAGTTGCCATGGCCTAGGTCAAGGGTAGGCAACCTTGGCTCTTTTATGACTCGTGGACTTCAACTCCCAGAATTCCTGAGCCAGCATGCCTACCAAGGTTGCCTACCCCTGGCCTAGGTAAAGAGCCAAGGTTGCCTACCCCTGGCCTAGGTAAAGAGCATGAAACTAGTAGCCTCCATTGTAAAGGGAGTAAAGAATTTTTGAAATTAATTTTGAGTTCTGGGTCAATGGGAAGGAATGGTATTCATTTATTTAATGCAACAAAAATCTCAATCTGTTCTTTTTCTGTAGAATTTTGGAAATATGTCATTCTCATTTCCAGAATCAGAGAACTTCCTTCTCACTGAATCACAAGACAAATTGCATTCTTTTTAGATTTATAGCTTGTTATGTCTCCTACACATTTTATATCAAGTGCTAACAATATTGGCTGCTTCTCTTTATCAGGTTTCTATTATATCTACTGTAGCTATCTTCTTTTTAAAAAAACCTATAATCTTATTTTACCCTACACTTCCGTGGGAATAAGTCTAGCTTCTGCCTAAACATAAAATTGAAATAAACAGGTAATATAGCTATTGGGGCACAAAATCCCCAATAAATATTTTTGTTGAATAACTCACATTATTATTTCATTATTTCTTTTTAGCACCAAGTTTTCAAATGAAAGAGCATGTTCTCAAATTTTATTGGACTCTTTCCATACTCACACCAGAACAATGAACATGGCATCAGTGGATATACAGCCATACCTAAATTTTATGTTTCCTAAATTACCAATAAAATGTTTTTTCTTTATATAAAATTAAAGCATTCCTTCTTATTAGAATATTGTGGCTGCACTTAAAATTTAACATATTTTTCAAGGACTCTACTTTATTACATTTGCACAAGCAAATACAAGTGCACATACACACCCACTCACACACACATACCACAAACACACAGAGATACGTGGAGATAAAGAAAAATGTATCTTTTTTGTTCTGTTTTCCAAACAAGCTGATACATTATCCTTGTTTCTTCAGATAAATCACAATTTAGACTTATCAGAAGGCTTAATTCAAGCTTAATAATATACTAGTTCAGTGGTGGCGAACCTATGGCACGGGTGCCAGAGGCGGCACTCAGAGCCCTCTCTGTGGGCGCGCGCGCCATCGCCCCAGTCCTAGGCCTTCAGCTGGGTTTTATAAAAACTTTTCGCTTTAGGCCTCCACCGCCGTGTACTAGTTAATTGAAAAGAAAAACAAATGGTGGATTCCTTCCTTGCAATTTTCCACTGTACACAAAACAGGGAAAGCAATTATCCTGAGGAGTTCATCTTATATAGTTAAAACTTCCCTTATGGGGAGAACTAACATTATGCTGAAGTCAGCTTTCAAATGTTAACCTATATAATCACCATTAAGTATGTACAGTACATGTATATACACAGTGGTGGGATTCAGCCAGTTCGCACCACTTCAGCAGAACCGGTAGCTAATGTTTTGTTGCCCAGGCCCAGAATGGACTTTCGGAAGCGGCATCCACACACAGAACCAGTTGTTCACATATTTGAATCCCACCACTGTATATACAGTTGATTATGACACACAACTTATAATTTCATGGTCAAAATTATTCTTCAAAAATGATTATAACTCTAAGAGACACCTCCCTAACAACCTGATCATTAAAATAAAATTTAAAAAATACTAAATAATTTTGTCTATATTTAGAAATGCAGTTTTAAAGGTGAGCTCACCCCTTTTAATATCAACTCAGCATGATTCAAAGAGCAAGGTAAGAAACATTTCCCAAATTTTCCCAATATCCATTTAAATCACATTTTACAAAACTCGGCAGAGTTTAGTTCCAGTTTTGATAACAGAATGCAGGTGGAGAGAGCCAAGCAAAAACCTTTTTTTGTCTGAGAAGACAATCAGGTAAAAATTGCCTTGTAACTATTGTATTCAAGTAACAATCTGAAAAGTTTATAAATATCTTTTGAATCTAGGAAAGGAATTTTTAACTTATTTAATAAATATTTATTCCTATTTCGGTTAACAAGTGAACTTTTTTATATACAGTTAAGCAGTTGTAATACATATAACATTTCATTAAAAAGTGTAAAACACTATGACATAGAAGTAATGGTTCAATACCACAGCTGGAATGTTTGGCTTCTTGTAACTCAATGTGAGCATCATGATTTTAAAGCTATATACAGTTAGCCCTTTCTAACACCAGATTTGGTGAAATGGTATTTATATTCAAGTTAATGCCTTACATTTTAAAGAAATTTTAATTCATTACGCAATAAAACAATAACCAGGCAGAAAAATAAGTAATTCTCTGGACAAAAATATATCACCAATTTACTACTCTTATAACCAAAAAGGTTACATTTCTTTCACTCAAAAAAGTACTACCTACTTAATAAACAGGGGGGAAAACACATAACAGGGCTATTTTATGTACACATATGTAAAACAAAGCTTTTAAAATGTATTAAGGCTTAACTTTCTCATAATCATGCAAAACAATTCATTTCATAGCTATAATTCACCACAGAATTAAGCATACTTAAATATTTCAAGTTTTAAAGACACTAACGATCCAACCCATTTTACAAACTTATCTCAGAGTAAACCCCACTGAACTCAATGGGACTTACTTCTGAATAACCATGTACTGCATAATATTTTATCAGACCAGGACTAGCGTTTTGTCAGTTTCAGCAGTTTTAAAATTAGACTTAAGACCTAAATTATGTAAATATGCATAACTCATCTCATTTTCCCAGCACATTAGTTGTGCTTAGTTGTCCATGTTAAAATAAAATATAAATAGAATAAGAGTTTATTTCACCTTCACATGGTGTCTTTCTCATGCAGACCTCAGATTTCCATATTTGTATCCCTTTAAAGGATTTGATATGCAGGGAAAAAAGAAAGGATGGTAAACATTTCAATTCAGAGATCAGTTTGGCTGCCACATTCCATGTATTATCACTACGCAAATCCCATACCTTTCACTGATGTGTTGGGTGGTGGTCCTTCCATACGCAGGTTCCATGGAGGATCCCCTTGATTAGCAAAATCCCTCATCTTCAAATAGCTAATTGTTAATCGGATGATAGATGCCTTGTCAAGCTGGCTGGTAATGGCAGCAGGGAGTGGCAACAATTTGGCCAACTCATAGAATTCAAAATTTTCTTTTCCTCTTCGAGAACGAGCAGCATCTCGGGATTTTTCCTTTCTCAAGGCTTGTAAGCTGGGGGAAGAAAGAAGCAAGATATTCATTAGTACTGTATTTTCTCTGACAGAGCCACTGTTTTTCACAATTCCTTGCCACTGTACAAATATACGCTGCAAGCACTGTTTAAATATAGATACATAAGCTATAGGCATATACAGGGCTTTTTTTCTCATAGAACGCCCAGAACGGAGTTCCGTCACCTTTTTTGGATGGAACCTTGTAGGGTAGGCAAGGCGGGTTGTATGATGTGTGTGAGTTTTGGCACCTTTTTTTTTTTTTTTTTTTTTTAGAAAAAAAGTACTGGGCATATATGTCCCAAAGGTGCTTTTTCAAAAGGCAACTGGACACCACCTATCTCCTGGTTACAACACAGTCCTTTCAGCAGTTCCAAGATTCCACAACCATTTGCACTACTCAGGTGAACCTGAGGACACCAATAAAACTCCAAGTGGTCCCAACGACTGTCAGAAAGAGTGTTAATGACCAGATGACTGCAAGGAACATAAACCCTTCCATTTTCCACCAGTCAGAACAGAAGAAGCTTCCTGGATGAGAAGTGAAATGTCTTCAAGGAAAAACAAAGAAAGTTCAGTTGCCTTTTGCGAAAGTGCCTTTTGGACAACCATGACCTGGATGACTGAGACATATAGAGGTGTGTGTGTGTGTGTATGTGTGTGTGTGTGTGTGTGTGTGTGTGTGTGTGTGTGTGTGTGTGTGTGTGAGCTGGGCTATTGGTTTGATCTCCGGGCTTGGTAATTAGGTTGAAACGTTTCATCTCCGTTCGGGGAGACATCTTCAGTGCAGTTTGAATTGTGTTCAGGTAGCAATACAATATGCAGGATTGGACCACGGCTTACCAATTGGATCTGTAACCCATCTAGAAGACATTTAAATTAATGTGGTATCCCAGATCCGTGATGGTACTAAATATTTTGACTTGAATGGATTGGGGTTTCACTGAAAAAACAAACGCAAAGCTTGACTATCATTACAGTTTCAGTAGCTGAGATCACTTTTAGCAGTTTTGCTTGGCCTGCCAAGAATTATAATCTGGCCCGAGTAATTCATACTAGAACAGCCAGATTATGTCATGATCACCAATTACAAATAGTGCCTCACTGGAGTTAAAATATCTGGTTGGAAACACCTTTCTATTCCAAAACTTGTGTTTTGTGACTGGAAACTGCAATGATATAGGGACATGAGAGGAGAAGCCTTCTTGATATCATGTCCTTGTTATGTAAGGCTGTCTCCCAAAAGGCTATGCTAGAGTCAATACTGGATTTATGTTTAAATGGAAAACTGGACTTTCAGTGACATACATACAGTATATACATGCATGAGTGTGTATGTAGTACTTACAAATATAATTGAGCCCAAAATTTATGTTGTTAAGTGAGAAATTTGTTAAGTGAGTTTGCCCTATTTTATGACTTTTCTTGCTGCATTTGTTAAGTGAATCACTGAAGTTGTTAAATTAGTAATATGGTTGTTAACTGAATCTCATTTCCCCATTGACCTTGCTTCTCAGAAGGTCACATAAGGCAATCACATGACCCAGGACACTGCAACCATCATAAATGTGAGTCAATAGTTAAGCATCCGAATGCAAATCACGTGAACTTGGGGGTGCTAAACAGTCATAAGTGTGGGAAACAATCGTAACTCACTTTTTTCAGTAATATTGTAACTTTGAAGGGTCACTAAATGAACTGTTGTAAGTCGAGGACTATCTGCCTATATCTATATCTATATCCATATATAGATAGATAGAGATAGAGATAGAGATAGAGATAGATAGATAGAGAGAGAGAGAGAGAGAGAGAGAGAGAGAGAGAGAGAGAGAGAGAGAGAGAGAGAGAGAGAGAGAGAGA